CGATTCCCATTCAACTCACCGCTTTACGGTGACGTATGAGAGATTTTAAACGTTTTGAGTTCATTTGCTAAGCCAAAACGCCATTTAAAATTGTGTACAATGCTACAGGTACATTAAGCTGTCCATAATGGTATCAAAATGTTGTATTTTTTTTTTTTTTTTTGTACTTCCAAAATCAATTTCTTGTGGGAGTTAAAAAGGGATAAAAATTGAAATAAAAACCCTAGACGTATTTCACTCTCACTTTTCCCATTCTCATTCTCTCGACTTAGACGTCTCAATCCAGAGACAAACCCACGTAATGTATGGTTTACCATAGCAATTTTTATCCTTCTCCAATGTGCTAGCTGGTGGATTTAAAGGCGGCACCAGTGGAATTGAAGATACCACCGGCTCAAATGGTAAATTTTATTTTCCTTTCTATTCGAAATGTAATGATTCACGATTCACGAATCAGATAATTATATTGGAGATTAAAGTATCATTTTCCTTCTTCTTCCTCCACCTCTACAGAGAAGGACACTCATCTTGAAGGAGAGTCACATATTTTTCCAACAACATGGTCGACGAGAACGTCGACCATGGTAGACTTTGTTTATTGGAGTACATTTTCTAGAATAAACAGGTTGGTACTATAGATTTGCTTGTGACACTTTAATATGATGCAAGTTTGCCTTTGCCTTTTTGAAATGTTCTATACATGTCTTTGTGTTAGTCAATTTTTATGTTTGATTTAGAAATGTTTATCCAAATTCTCAAATATGCCCGATACTTTTCTGCAAAACGATGTGAATTCAAAGCAGTTGTTTCATCTCTTAATTACAAACATAATGTGAAATGTTATTTCTGCAGGAGTGGATGTTAACTCACTTGATTGTGTCGACAACGATGGTTTGGGTGAGGAAATGTTAGGTAATAAAAATGAGATAATCGTGTCTAAGGTTTATATAAAGTTTGCGAATGAGACCGAGGTATTTGAATTCTACAAGAGATACGCTTATCAAGTAGGGTGTGTTTCTTGTTAGAAAACGGAATACAAAGAAGGGAGATGACATGATAGTAAGATATGTGAATTTTACTTGTAGTTGAGAAGGGCTACAAAGCCGTAAGAAAATTACTTCTTTGAATCCTCCACCAACAAGTGAAATTGGGTGTAAAGCAAGGTTGACTCCGTGTTCTGATACATGTGGAATATTTAGAATAAACATTGTGCATTTAGAGCATAACCATAAAATAAGCCCATCTAAGTCTAGGTTGTATAGATGTAATCAGCAACTTAGTGAACGTGTTAAAAGATAACTCGAGGTGAATAACATAGCAGGAATACCAGTACATAAAGATTCAACTGTAGTTGAGCCAGTGGTAACAGGAAAAAGAGCAAGCCCTCTCTACATTTCTGAGAAAGAGCATGAAAATCTTAGGGGGCGTTCTATTTGTGTTTCAGTTTTGTGTTTTGAGTTTTGAATTCGTTTTGTGTTTTGTGTTTTGAGTGTCTGTTTTGAAATTGCTGAAAATGCGTTCTCTTTATCATTCTGAAAAACTGTTTCTGAAAACATAAAAATGGAAAACGCGTTTACTTTGACATTTTGAGAATTTTTTTTTATAATATTTTATTTAAGAAATCTGATTATTCAATAAATTATAATAGTTTAATATTAATATAGTGTTAAATAACATATACATTTTGAAGTCGGTGAATCTTAAAATATTTTTTCTCAAATATAAAAAACACATCCCAAATTAAATTTGGCAAAATAGTTCAATCGATACAATTGAAAGTTTACGTGTTATGACAAAACAAGTAGATACTACACAAAATATATGGTATAAATTCATTCACTCATGTATACTTTAAATTATAATATGACAAGCAAGATTTTAATTTAAGTCAACAATTCATTTCAACTATATATTTTATGGTTCCCCAACTTTTCAACCATATATTTTATCAACTTCAATAGAAGAAATACAAAAAACTAAAAACAAGAAGACTATTTATCAATTATTGAAGAAAGAATTAAATAAAACCATACAAAACACAATCATCTTCGTTTTTTCAGATAATCAACCAATGTTTCGAAATTCTGAAAAGAAGTTCCTGACTGAGTAACACTCCTGAGAGCCACTTCCATCAATTTCAAAGCATTGGCTTTAATACTGTTGTCAGAAAACACCATTTCTATTTTTGTATTAGTTTCTTGCCTTGATCTGAGTCCTCATCCGGGTTCAGCAAAAAAACCAATCTTCCACATATCACAAATGTAATTCTGGTTATGAAATTGATCTAAAAAGTAAGGCCAACACAAGAAGGGGACACCCATGCTTATGCCCTTCATAGATGAGTTCCACCCACAATGGCTTAAGAAACAACCCACAGAAGAATGACCCAACACTTTCTTGAGGTGCCCATTCGACAATTTTTCCGCGTTGTCTTACCCTTTGCTCAAAGTCTTTTGGGATGACAAAGTTTGATCCAAAAACCCATAGTAGGGGTCGACCACAAAGTTCAAGAGCTAAAGCCAGTTCTTGAAATTGTTCCTGAGACAAAACAGTTGGGAGGCGTCGGGAATTTGGAAGTCGACCGGCATCGAAAATGTCGCTTGCAGAGGCTGGGAGATGTGGGTTTAGGGGGAGAAATGAAAACCAGAGGAAGAACAAGGTTGGGAAACGGGAATAGGAACAGGGAGAGAAAGGTTGAAATTGGGCGTTTCCCGTGTTTTTAACAAGTAACGTGTTTTGCACTGAAAACATCCAAAATGTGGTTTTGGATGTTTTCTGTTTTCAATACAATTTTTTTTTTTTTTTGTTTTCAAAAATTTGTTTTCAAAAATGAGAAAGAGAACGCGTTTTCAATATTTTAGAAAATCGAAAATCGAAAACAGTTTGAAAATAGCAAAGAGAACAGGGCCTTAGAATCTCCATTCTTGATCCCATTCCCATCAAAACCCTACTCCAAAACCTCCCAAATATCTATTCCAAATTCATATCCAGAGCTTTGGCCTCCATTTTTCCACCACCATAATTTGAAGTAAGCTACCGCGGGATTTTCTATTTTATTACATTTTTGCGTTGAAATTTTGCTATATTAACGCACTCCAATTTCTGTATATATATGCGTGTTATTGAATCTATTTGTATAATTTAGCATGGAAAATAGCTTGAGTTGGTATTATAATATAGTTTTATCGTGCACTTCCATGTACTTTCTTTATTGCTTTAGAAAGAGAGGAAACTCTAAGACCGTGTGAACCACAACATAGTTTCACCGGCTCTACCATGATTTTGCTGGCTTCTGTTCTTCACCTTCTCACTTCCTTATTCCCCCCACCCCCCTTTTTTTTTTCTCTACCTTGGTACCCCTCCTCTAATTTTTTATAAAGCTTTACGGGCTCGAATTTAAGTTGAGGTGATGTGGAATTTTCTTCACTCGCCACCGCAAGTAATTTGGTGGTAGCTGTGGAAGGCGAAGGCGAAGGCGAAGGCGGTGTCAAGTGGTGATATGGAAGGTGGCGAGGGCTAGGGGTGGGGTGAGATGGATTGGGGGTGATTGGGGAAGATGAAGTGGATGAGTGGGGGTAGGTGTTGCATTTTTTTTTTCTTTTTTATATAATTATTTTATTTGAGAAAATGTAAAATTACAATTTTTCCCTTCATTTTGCTGTTCAAAATAGGTTAACTTTTTGATTTTTGGTCAATTAATGAATTTGTGGTTTGAGTACAATCTGGAAAATTTTAAAAGGTTTAGGATCCAACTTGTCATTCTATGCATTTTAAAATAGTAGATTAATGGAGAATGTATTAATAAATATAAGGAAAAATTTTAAATTTACGTATAATATATATATATATATTTGATAACCGTGGATATTCGGGCCAGTTTGCGCACACCTCGACTAATTCCACGAGATCCTGACGTTTACGGTCGGGTACTCACCTCAATGGCCCTGAGGGAGCTCGAACTGGTGACCATTGGGGTGCAAACTCAAGGCCTGACCAATTGGGCAACATCTCAGGGTTAAATTTACGTGTAATATTATTTTATTGAAAAATGTGTGATTAAAAAAAAAAGTAAAAATGTATTTTTGAAAATAACGAGAATTAAAATATAGTTATTCCGCAGGTTATACAGCCCCAATTACAAAGAATTGTTGTAACAGCTACAATTCCTGAAAGAATTATTCTAATTGTACATCAAGAATTGTACATAAGCGTCTACACTCCCCTCACATGAGGGGTGGGACCCATTGAAATAATATTTTTTTATTCGAGCGGGTCCCACCCATGTGGGAGGGTATAGGCAGGTGATGTACCTTAAGAATGCTCTTCTTGGAAACAGCTGCTCAAGACGAGACAATCATACATTCCATTTCCCTCCGTAAATTAATCAGTGGAGTAATTTTGTAAAAATCGAATCTCGTTTGTTTTTAAAATATGACCAAATCGATTAATAAACCTTTAAAACTTCTAAAGATTGTTTACAATTCTGAACTGAGAAAAATCCCGAAGAACACGGCCGAACCAGTATTTGGAAAGGTTGGACGACCGTTGAAATATTCAATTCAGACTCTACGCGACGACTCACTCTCTTTTCCAGACAAATCACAATAAATTTTGTTCCCCGTTTTTTGGTATATTTAATCCAGTTGAATTTGAATAGATCTATTATATCCTCCACCCGATCCCTATAAATAGTAATCCCTGAATTTGAATAGATCGTATATGACATAATGGCGTGTGTGAAATTTGCATCTCGATTCTCCATTCTATGTTTCGCTACTTCAAGAACTCTAAATCTTAATTCCAAAATACGCCCTTTCTCCACTGTAAAACAGACCTTCAAAGCCAAAGGTCCCAAATATATGAATTCCTGAATCTAACTCTTTTAATTTTCTTAACTGATTGAAGATTTTCTATTTCTTGAGCAAGAAATTTTTGGGTCTTTCTTTATTGTTTCAGGGAAACTGAATGACGCTAGATTTGGAATTTCCTTGATTAGAAGATTCTGGATGAGTTCCTCCTCCCCCTCTCAGGAGTCATCAGAGAAGCAAACTCAGCAAGTGGAGAGAATATTAGATGCCAGAGATGATGACCATGGAGGAGTCATGGTGGAAATGACCAATGAGTCCATGGATGCTGGTGTCTTTGTTTCTTTACTTAGAGCCTCGCTTTCCCATTGGAGACAGCAGGTATTGGATTTGTTTATATATTTTTTACTGATTATCTTAGAGTCAACCAAAGGGCAATTTCTTGCGTTTATGCTGTAAATGATTGATAGTTTATATTCATGTATATATAGCAATAATGTTGACACTTGATACTAGTATGGTTGGGGAATTAGGTTATTCTGGACTTAAGAACGAAACTGAAAAGGAGTTGACCAAACCGGAAAGGAGTTTTGCAAGGTATCTCAAGTGAGAAGGGAAAAAAGTGTTGATCGTAGAAAGGACAATTAAGAGCAGGCAGATTAACATACCAATGTTTGCCCAAGATTTAATGGCTTAAGTTGGATTCTACTTATAAACTGGAATTTGTTTCTTGGTATAAGCTAAAAATGGAATGACTTTTCTGGAAGTTGAGTTTTTCTTTCGGCTTCAAATAAGTTCTCTTGTTGTACTTGTATGCCTGACTAAAGGAAAGGGAAAAGACGAGATCCAATAAAATGCCAAAGGATTCATATTTCAGAATGTGTATAATATATGTGCTGCCATCCTTTGGATAGTTATAATGCTCAAGTGCGGATTCATATTGACCACGATTGCTAATAGAAAGCCAAACCTGCCCTTCTTCATCAATAAGACGGTGTCAAAAAAAGTGACTGGCTGCTAAAAAACATTTTTTCATGTATGTAAGATACTGATCAGACTGGCTGGCATTAACATAGATAGTTTTTGACTACTATCTTTTATGTTTTTCTATTTGCTCGGGTGCATTGTTTTCTGATCACACGAAATATTACAGACTGGCCAGTACTTCCATGACACCGTGTGTTCGATTTTTGTATGAAGTCGCCTGTGATACATGTATGTGGAATGCAGATATGTTCCATGATCAGGAAAACTGATACTGCTAAATAAGAAAAAAGAAATGGAAGAATAAGAAGAAGAAGAAAACAATGAAGAATTCTGTACATGTGAACTGCTACGTGCATGAAATTAGGTTTCTGATATTTGAGATTCTGAAGATTTCCTTTTTGAATTTTGTCTAGGTATGCATATGTTATGAATTCATAATGTTGATTGGTGGACATTTGTTGCATAATCAAAATGTTTGTTAATTGTCATGGAAGCTTTTGTTCAGTTTAACTGATTTTGCTACATATTTAACGGGTGGACACTCACTGATATTCTTTTTTTGACATGCAAAATGTAGTTCCTGGTTTTTGACATTTATGCAATATTATGAGAAAATAAGCAAAAAAATCTTATATTTCAGAGTCTGGATTTATTCCCTCTCCTTTAGGGGGAATAGAGGACGGAAAAACCAGAGGTTCAGGTGGATAAGGGCATTAGGAATATAACTAAAAATAGAATACTAATTTTAGGGTCTTAGGTATATGATTGGAGGGAAGCGAGGATAAATTCCTGTTGCAGCTCCTCAGTCTCTAGGTCGTAATGCTTCATATTTTAACATTACAAGAAATTATGTCTTTTGGGTCGATAAACATTCGAGCACTAGAGAAATTTTAGTAACCATTACGTAGTTTTACTCTGAAGGAAGAGGTATTCAGCTAAAAAGAAAAAAATTAATATTTTCATGTGCAAGTATTAGGTGGATGTTTTTGCAGGGGAAAAAAGGTGTCTGGATTAAATTGCCTATTGAGCTTGTAAATCTTGTTGAGCCTGCTGTTAAGGTTAGTTTGTTCTCTAGTTCGAATTATTTTGACGCAGAATCTGATCCTAGTAGAAATGAGGTAGCTCGTGACAAACTGCCATATTACTTCATTGCCCACTCTTTTTTATAGCCAATATTTGGTTTTTCAGGAAGGATTTTATTATCACCACGCTGAAGCTAAATACATAATGCTTGTGCATTGGCTTCCTAGTATTGCTAATGCTCTGCCAGCCAGCGCCTCACATCGAGTCGGTGTCGGTGCTTTTGTCGTGAATAAAAAGAATGAGGTATATCTACATTTAACTTGTTAGCTTCTTTGGTTTGGTTAGATGCTCTGGTTGTGTATTGAGTCCATTTAGCATTTCTAAGGGGTTTCCATAATAGATATCAGACTTCGAGTACCTCTAAAAAGATAACTCGTGATGGTTGCTAAATCCGGATAATATGTAGAAAGCAATCTGGCTTCAAGGCATGTTAGTGTGTCAGTTTCCACAAGACAATATCTGCCTCTCTATATCAGTTGTCCACTGGTTATGCTACTGCACCTCCAAGATACAATAAAGAAACTTAAACATCTTAGATATTAGTCCTTAACCTCCTCCTACCCTTTTATGGGTCCACTGATGCGTGTGTGTGTGGATGATCAGGTACCCTGACATAGTAGTCCTTAACCTCTTGCAGCCCTTTTTATGCAAGTTTCTCAGAAAAGATGCAAATGATGCTGTAGCTGGTTTTGCACTCTGCATACATTTCTGCATGGATATTTGATATTTTATTTCTTGGGACCCTTGTGTTAACCTCTCAGCATCTGTACTAGGTTCTAGTTGTTCAGGAAAAGAGTGGAGCCTTCCGTGGAACGGGTGTCTGGAAGTTTCCGACTGGAGTCGTTGATGAGGTATGTCCTACCAGTAATTTTATTGCCATATTTAAAGAAAAATTATATAAGGAAAAAGTGTCAAATGCCTTTCCTTCATTTGTATCTTTATATTCACAGGGTGAAGATATATGTGATGCCGCAGTGAGAGAAGTGAAAGAAGAGGCAGGAGTAAGTGTAATGTGCACAACTTATATGTTATGTTCATACTTGGATTTGCATTTTCAGTATTTGTGCACGAAATTCATTAAGAATGCTGTTCTTTACTTGGTTCTATTTCCAGATCGATTCAAAATTTGTAGAAATACTAGCATTCAGGTACTCCTTTGCCCAAAATCATTTATTTCATGTATTTGAAGTGTGGGCTATTTTCTTGTTTATATGCTATACATATTTGGCTATCATCCGGTACCTTTTGAGACCAGTATATGCCTGTTTCCTATCATTGTTAGTTTTCTGTCGCCTTGTATATTGAGTAAATTCATGCCATGATTTCCAGACAGAGCCACAAGTCATTCTTTGATAAGTCAGATTTGTTCTTCGTGTGCATGATGCAACCACTCTCCTTTGACATCAAACCACAGGAAGCAGAGATAGAGGCAGCACAGGTATAATCAATCAGTCAGCATATTATGAGTAATCAAGTAAAGAAGTTATTTTCTCAGTAAATTTGTTGAGTAACTTATTATCATAGCCATCTTGCTTGTTTTTCCAAGTCCAGCTGCAAAAACCAAGATACTTTCTCTATTTATGATAATGCATGATTGCATATACCCCACTTCCTCTTCTCTATTTTCAGCTGATTTCCCAAGTCTGGCATATGCAACACGTTCTTCAAGTATATTACTACCACACAAGCAAATGAATGACGCATAGAAGCTCAAGGAAACTTTGCACCTAGATCCCTCATTCTAAACTCAAAAGAATGCTTGGATCCTCAGTCAGTTTTTCTTGGTATTTGGGTCCCTAACCTTTAAGCCCATAGCATTTGGATCCACACTGATGCTTTCCTTCCAAAATTACGTTTAACTGGTCATGTGCCTCACATGTAAGTCATTGTTCCATGGGCTTAATGTGTGATTCAAAGTAGAAAAACAGTCGTCATTTACCCGCTGCCAGCTGAACTTGGGCTTGGGCACCAATTTCATAAAAGCCATTTGATCTTGAGGTGTAGGAGCAGTCTTTCACAACTCCCAATGAAGTGATAATTTCATGGTATTGGTGAACATATGGCACGACTTGGTGGCTTTCGTGTGGGGAATTCTTGGTTGGATAGTTTTTCTGAATCAGTAGCTACGGCATTTGAGTTATTATTTAGAATACTCTTAGAACAATTCTTATATGCACATCTTGCAAGGACCTAAATTTAAAAGAATGTTTGTCAATAACTAAAAGAAAAGTCTTATTTGAGCTGTTTATTTATTTTCAGTGGATGCCATATGAAGAATATGCGACGCAGCCATTTGTTCAAAAACACGAGCTTCTTAGGTATATTGCTGATGTATGCAGAACAAAGAAAGATGGACGGTATTCTGGATTCTCTGCGGTGCCTACAATAACTAGTTTTTCTAAGAAGAAAAGCTACTTGTATTTAAACAAGAAAGACGTAGACTCGTAAGATTTGCTTGTAAACACACTGTTGAATGACAGAGTTGTAGAAAATATATATTGCTTACTAAGTGAAAACTTATTGGTAAGCTGGAATGTATCACACCACACCAATAAATGTCTCCGCTCATTTCTAAGAAAAAAGAAATCGATTTTAGTCTTAATTTGTTTTGGCTTGAAATTGTCGAACCAACATTTGTATACTACATGTATTTCTTTGGTCCATTGCAATATATGAATTTGTATGAATTTACATATTGGAAAAGAGAATTTTGAGTTCTGATATTCATTTAAGGACAAAAGCCGCCTGGGCGCTTTACCAGAATTAACTAATAAAAGGCCCAAAGTTGGAAGTGATCTTAGAAACCAATCACAATGTGCAACTTGCACGGATTCATTGTGGATTTTTACATCCGCTATTTTATATTTATATAGGAATGAAGGTGTTCTTGGTTCGATTGTTGTAATATTGTTCATAACAAGGCCATTAGCATACTGCCCTCTAATTTATTCTGCTGTCTTTGTTTAGAGGTGTTAANATAGCCCCTGTTTGAGTCACATTAAAATTTTCAATCTTATTCTTCTACTCATTTTCACCCACACATTTTTCAATAAAATAATATTTTTCATCACATCAATAATTTTTCCTTCTTTTTCAACCATACATTCTCTATCAATCTACTATTCCAAAATACATTCTTTCAAAATGATGTGGCTGAAACTGAAACACACCCTCACTTTAATTCTCAATCACTTACTTTCAAATTCCTAAAAAATATTTGGATAGAATTCCATCCCGAACCCTTAAAGTAAAACCACCACATCATCCTTCTACCACCATTGCTAATCCTGCCTCCGCCACCACTACAACAGTCAACCATGACCTTTGCATCTCACTCCAACCAATTTCGCCGCCACCACAAAATCCATCGGACCACCACTGCCTCCATCAAATTTATTTAGCCCCCTTGTCACAGCCACCATCGTCTGCCATCCAAAAGGTTGTGAAATGGGGAGAAGAAGACCCCTGGACGTGCAGATTGATCTTGATAAAAATGAAATTATTTTGGAGTATTGGGGTTACGCCATTGCTGAGGATGATTGTAACATACATTGTTAATGTGTTATGTAAAGTATAAACAATATTTTGAACAAATAAATTGTATTGTATACTACTGTGTGTGTAAGAAAATTGCTCATTATTTTTTGCACAGTTTTTCAGCAAATACATACGATCAAGTGGGCGGACGATGCAGCCACATGCCTCTACAATTGAACCCATCAAGTGCCGCTCTAGCCCCATACCGAGCTTCAACGCACATTTTGAGACCTAACTCTGTCACGTTATTGTTCAATAACTTGAAATAAACAGTACATAGTGAATTAGTGTTTATATTTACAAAATAAAGAGTTTTCTGTAAGTCTTAGTGGTTCACAAATTGTGTAGACACAACCTTGTAAAGATATCTTGAATGTAAGGATACAAGTCTCATATACCCAGACTCACAAGTCACAGATATCGATTTGATGATCATTTTCATTCTGACCTTTTTTATTCACGAAAACATCAACCTTATACTTTGAATAATGCTATCTAGCACTAGTGTTATCGAGTATGAATCTAAATGTCAATATATCATAAGTCCTATTAAATGAATCATAATTCGCTGTATTTAATTGAACACTAGTGTTGTCCCTAGACTCATGTTAACATTTAACATTACAGTCATATTTTAGTACTAAAAAAAGAAAAGATTTTTATTGTGAAAGAGTATAATCATGTCAATAAAAATAGTTGGGGCAGGCTTGACAAATTAACTCAAACTTGTATGCCTGTTTACCAAAGCCATAGACGTGGACTTTATAATATTTTATGATTAAAATGATTCGTAAGGGATAAATATTAGGCTACCAACCAAAAACCATTACCCTTCCCATTTCCCATCTCCTGAATTTCTACTCTACATGATGAAGAAGGCGACATTAAATCTAAGTTAAAAGCAAAGATCAAAAAATAATTATATTATCAAGGCCAAAATAGTCATTCCAACTTATTGAAAATGGCATATGACCATGCAGGCACAAGTATAAAACCCAAATGTGGTAGCTAAGTTTTCATTGTCCCTTCATTCCTTCTTGCGTTGATACAAAGTTAGTAAGCAGAAACACGAGAAGGAGTCATTTTTGGAGCATGGATTCTCTTGTGAAGATGGTGTTCTTCAATTTCACACTCTTCTTTTGTCTCGGAATGGCTATGGCCGGACAGGAGAACTCCATTATTGAGCCGTCGAGTAGGGAAGACTCCGTGAATTGGGCTGGATATGGCGAAGAGAAGCTCTCAACGGTTGTGATCAATGGCAAAGTTATTTGCCACAGCAAAGCTTCTATGCGAATGAATCCTATCTCGGGTTAGTTACACAAGTTTTTTAGTTTGTCTCATCCTATAACTGGAGATGTTCCAAATTCTTGGGGAATCTTGAGTTTGATTCCTTAAAATAAGATCTGCTTAGTTTTTCCCTAACATATACATGACAAAGCATCCCATTTTCTCTTTCTTTTTTATCATCGTGTTTGAGAAAGTGGAAAGTCACCAACTCTGTACGCACGAAATTCTAGTACATGCAACTTGTGATCAGAAACCTAAATGACTTGTCTATTAGGATGGACGGTTCCGTCAAGTACTGATTACCAAACGAGCTTTAAACGTGTGTTTATATATATGTGTGTAGGTGCTTCGGTGGCTGTTTTATGTGGCACCAACGGGGCGACAAGTAAATCATGGGCAGAGGGCACAACGGACGATCACGGGGAATTCTTCATTGATCTTCCGTCCCATCTTCATGCAATTCCAAACTTGGAAAGTATCTGTTGTGTTAAAGTTCATCATCTGCCAGAGAGTTCTCCCTGCCGGCAATCTTTCACTGAGAAACATAAAGGTATAAAACTGACATCAATTGGTGAAGGCATCCGTACTTACACAACACATAATATTCGTTTGATGCCTCACAAGCGCGCATGAAAGACGGACACAAGACAAGAGATACGGTAGAGGTCTTGTAAGAAAATGAAGACTCGAGTTAGCAAGCAGCTCGTGTGGATGGCGCTTTAGTCACAATATGAGTCGCAGGTGTGTGTAGCGTGGAGTGAGTGTTTGTGTGTATGTGTTGATGGGGGAATGTTAATAGCTTGCGTAAACAAAAATGTATTTAGTTCTAAAAGAAACTGTACCTTCAAGCGACAGGGAACTGCCGCCAGTTCTTCAACATCAATGAAGTTCTCTTGTCTTGTCAATAATTAATGCAAAAGGCGAATAAGAGAGAAAATTAACATTAATAATCAGAACGGTAGCGTGTAAATCAAGACCATAAAAAGAAAGGTAAAGAAGAAAAACAAACAAAATTGTTTTAAACTGAGATGAAATTCAAGAAATCTTGCATTCAAGAGTAGTTTATACGAAAATCTAAGAGAACACAATTTGAAGGGACCCTTGAATGCACGAACGTACTGAATCACCAGATAATTAATGTATAATACAATTAAAAATCTCTCAAATTTTCTGATCAGCACTAGAAATTACATATTTAGCAACATCGGCACAGCATTTAAGCTTGTCTGCTTCGGCATCAGGTATCTCAACGGAGAATTCTTCCTCAAAAGCCATAACAAGTTCAACTCTATCAAGGCTGTCAAGGCTCAAGTCCTTCTGGAAATCAGCTTTTTCAGTAACCTGTTGTATATAAAAACATTGTGTTATATTATTTTAATTCATAACAAAACAAGAAACATCTCTAGAGTTGGCAATATAATTTTTGGAGATGGAAAAAATATATGATCGGGGAATACTTAGCTAATTACCTTAGCAGCATCTATCTTGTCAAATTTCTTCACCAGCTTAATCACTCGATCCATTACCTGATCATGGCTGTTACTTGAGGTTGCGCTGCATGTTCTCAACTGTTGGCCATGTCTGTACAGTGCATTCAAATCGCCTGCTATTAGTCTCTTGGTTGTGAAGACCCCAACCCTCACGTGGTTCAAAATAGAATTTCGCAGGCTTTGCATATTCAGCTATCCAGTAATAAGTGAAATGTTCAAAAAGGTCAGTTTTACAAAGCAAATGCACGGAAAACTTGTGGGTAATTAAGCAAAGTAAGCAAATACAGAATGATTAATGTAGATGATCGATGCGGAAAGAAAAGTAATCGCAAGTGACGTCAAGGTGCACCGATTTCTTGATTCTTCTTTTTCTACAACTACTCCGAGATGATAAGAAACCATTTGTAACACATGCTTAACAAAGCACTTCAAACATTGACCCAGGAAGTGATATCCATTGCCCACTCCCAAATTCAGCATCAATTATAAATGCATGTCCTTGTCTGACATGTGAAAAGCTGAAAGAGTTCACATAGCAATACAATAGGAACTTATGAATATTAGCATTCATCTTCCTAAAATGTTCCAGTGATTGATAGCAACAAAACTATTAAAAACCACAGACAAATGTTTTCCTATAATGTTGAAACTGATCCAGCTTTTAACTAGAAATTTTGATCCAGTCTTGATACAAGCTGTTGTGAGAAGCCATAGAAGCACTACCAATAGTCTTCCATTGGGGTAGCTCATTCTAGTATTTTGTTGAATCACATTGTGTTACAACCAACAGATCACGATATGGCTGGATAATAATCTTTTAAATGCACATCTACAATCAAACTTGCCGGGGTGAGAAAATAAAATTCAAGAGGTATGTTTCATGTTCAAGCGTTGCAATTGATGGAAGAATTGCTCTGCAATTGTCCAAGCAAAACAAATCAAAAACCATTTCTGAAAGGCCATCGTTTCCAATAAAGTAGGCTTCATGCATTGGCAATAAATCTGATACCCATCTTGGCCCATAAAGAGGAATGACATCTAATTTACTGCCTGTTGCGTGACTGCTTTGAAGGCGCTATTGTGTTGCCTTCTTGTGTATGTGTCGAGATTTCTGAATTTTTAGTTATACAGGCTACCCTAAGTATCAATGCAAATACATCTAAACTAACATAACCTAACCGCAAAAATCATTAAGAACAGAAAGATGCGAAGTGGACTACAAACCCTTGTGAAAACTTAAATTATTATCTAATAGCACACAATACAAGAAATATACAGAGGCCAAATTCAAGACATCCAAAATTTGGTAAAAAATGTGAAATCACGTTAGGAATCAAACAAAGAACAAAAATTTGCCGACCTGATTATGAAAACGTACTCCGAACTCACTAAGAAAGCAACAAAAAACAGTACCCAAGTCCAGGAGGTAAAAGTAGGAAGCAAGATTATAGATATATGAACAAAACTTCTATAAAATGAAATGAATCAACTGTGGAAGAGTTCACATTACCAAAAATCTTGAGTACTTTTGCTTGTTTACAAGCTGTTTGCTTTTTTGTGTCACAGAAGTTTTTTCCAGGAATGCACTTGTATAATTTAGAATTACTAAATGGGCTTGTGCCAACTATAGTAGTTTAATGGAAAAGTTCATAATTAAAAGCTTTTTCAAATTTAAGAAGTTAGGTTTAAAATTTTAAATTTCAAATATTTTTTAATTTTATTTTTAAATTAATTAATTAAACATATATATTATTAATTAAATATATTAAGGTCACAATTCCATATAATGTGGTCACAAATCACAAATTTTACATGCCACAAATTATTTTAAGTTTACAATTCAAAAATTTTATAGGTCACAATTTGTTTATCGGTCACAAATAAAAAATGAAACGTCACAAATTATTTTACGGTCACAATTCAAAAATTTTATATGTCACAATTTATTCATCGGTCACAAATCAGAAATTTTAATTGGTCACATATCGAAAAATTTATAGGTCATAAATTATTTCAAGATCACAATTAATTATTTTATATCACAATTTGTTCATCGATTACAAATAAAAAAAATTATATGTTACAATTTATTTATCAGTCACAAATCACAAATTTTATAAGTCACAACGTATTACACGGTCACAAATTATCGAATTGGTGGTCACAAATTAACAAATTTTTAGGTCACACATTATTTATTGGTCACAATCAACCCATCTAATGTGTGACCACAACCACCAATTGTGACCAGAGCTAACACCATGGTCGCTGACAACGAGTAACACCACCACCATGTCCATCATATCAAACAAAATAATACCCACCACCAAAAATCATTGTGATTTGAGCACCACCGTGATTAATCAAATGGAAAAACCACCATGGCATCACCACCACAACTGCACCACCATGAGAATTACCATTGTTGTCAGATAAACCACTATTAGCAGCGCCGCCACCACCCAACAACATTGCACAATCACACCACAAACACCACCAAATGCAGGGGCCTAGTAGACTCTATTGTCATCACAAACAACACCAATGGCATCAGAATCCGTATTCTGCTCGCCGCTCCACCTCTCGGAGTCTAGCAAACAACTCCGTCATCGATACACAACGACGTCGAGCGACGCCGCTATTGGATTAACATTGTTATCGGAATCTATATACCTTGCACATATTGAAATCTCATACCGCTCCACCTCAGAGATTAATGCCACCGCTCCACCTTGCACAGATCGAAATCTCACTCCGCCTTACCTCCTACGACTACTTCGGTGTGTAGTGTGTCGTAAAGACACGTAGATAATTGAGAGATATGAAGAGAGAATTGAAAGGGGAAAATGAATAGGGTCAGGGGTGAGAGATTTAGGTTTTGACTGTTTGAGAGTTCAAAAATGTCTAAATTTTTATCTGATTTTTGAAAGAAAAACTTTAAAGTTTGATTTTTGAATTGAGCATTTTAAAACTCTGGTTAGGTGTAATTTCCACTAGTTTAATTCTGCTATATAGTGTGTACAAGGGTAATCCCTACGGTCCATTATAGTAGCCTGGAAATTTCTAAGCATGCTGATATCTATGAGGACATTTTGCAGGCCCAAATCAGCCCAATGTTGTGGACAGTGGATAACTAATTTTTTCCCATATAATGTACAAAGGGTAAAATACTTGATTACAAGATGTAAACTTGTGAAATTCTTTCAAAAATCAGGTGTTTACATTTGTGACCACCTGATACAATTTTGTGACTTGTTATTTAATTAAATATTTCAATGTTACAATAACATATAATTTATGATCATAATTATGTACTAATCACAAATCACACACATTCACAAATGCAAAAAATATAGGTCACAGTTACTAATTTAGTAACAAATAACACATTTTTATATGTCATAACTTATTTATAAGTTACAAAATATCAAATTAACTGATCACAATTATCCAATTAATTGGTCACGAATTATTTTCATCTCCCCCATCTCACCCACGTCACATTCCACCACCACCGATTATTTAATTAACATATAAATTATGTAGCATGCGCATGACGGAGTGGGTCTCACATGGCTGATTCGATATCGATTATTCAATTGGATTAATCATATTAAACTAAGCAACCTCGTCTTGGGCCATCTCACTAAACCTAATACATGATTACTATAGTATCAAGATACACTTTCTAACTTAAGAAACTTGTGGAATTCTTGCAGAAATCAGGTGTTTACATTTGTGACCACCTGATACAATTTTGTGACCCGTTAATTAATTAAATAGGTCAATGTCACGATAACATACAATTTATGATCATAATTATGTACTAATCACAAATCACATAGCCTCACATTCACAAATGCAAAGTATTTGGTTCACAGTTACAAATTTAGTCGTAAATAACATATTTTTATAGGTCACAACTTATTTATGGATTACAAAATATCAAATTAACTGGTTATAATTATCCAATTAATTGGTCACAAATTATTTTCATCTCCCTCTTTTCACCCACGTCACACCCACCAGCAGCAGCAGCACCACCACCACCACCACCACCAGCAGCAGCAGCACCACCACCGATTATTCAATTAACATATAAATTATGTAGCATGCGCATGACAGAGGGAGTCTCACATGGCTGGCTCGACATCGATTCTTCTATTGGATTAAGCCTATTAATCTAAGCAACCTCGTGCAACTCGTCTTGGGCCATCTCACTAAACATACTTTGTCCATTTCCATTTCTCTATTATATGTGAGTCCATTTCACAAAAGGTATGACATTCTAACCTAGCCAAACTCCCACTCTCATCTTTTGCATTCATTATCTCTCGTTCGATAGTTCACTTGATTGTCGGAGTTCAAATGGTCATCATACATTTTTTTCGACCTATGACATTTACGTCATAACGTTGTGTTCTAGTACGCAAGTGACGCCTTTGTGGAAGAGAGGTGGTCGTGATTCTATGGACCAACTGCAATAACAAGCTAGGTTATTTCAAGTTTGTGGTTGTTTCGTTGTGATTGTAGTTTGGTTGTGCTTAGGGGCAAAAAACTCAATTCAGACATTAGGGGTTGAATGGATGGAAAGATGGCTTGGTGGTGGGTAGTATTTTTTGTTGATCCGAGTTAGGATGGTGGTTTAAGGGAGATGCGAGAATTTTCCAACCGCAAGTGTACGGTGTCAAGTTTTAATATAGTGAGAGTAGAGTATCGTTTTCTACAGGGATTGAAATCAAATCCTAATAATTTCTATAATTAAAATAACCTTAATTTTATCTAGAAAATAGGAATATTGGAATGAGAACTAACTGACTAATTCAATAAATTAACAATGCAATAAAACAAGATTAACACTAATAGGCTTAAACTCTAGAGATTCAATTTCACCTAACCATCAATCATGCTTCAATCATCTAACAATTCCTTAATTTATTCTTATGCTCTATTTACTATTAGTCAAGAACCCGAAATTATCTTAATCCGCTCTCTCGATGGCGAATTAAGAATTACTCTTAAAACCCTAATTTTGAGTTTCCATCTAAAATTAAGATGATAAAGTACATTTAGATCTTTGATTCTCTTAATAACTACAAATGATTTCATAGGCCTCTCGAACTCTATAATCTCCTAGATTGTGTTTATCAATGATCTCTATTTAGAATTCCCTCTCTCGATACTAAATCTCAAATCCAATATCATTCAAATGGTAATCAAGCATTCAAAAGCATTAAGATTAGATAAATACAAATAAACCAATTCCATAACTTCTAGAATAGATAATTAAATGATCAAAGCATAATCTCTAGTGTTGGCTACATTGTATTTCTAGAAAAATAAATTATTCCATGAAAATATTAAAAAAAAACACAATTCATGTTCTTAAACATTGATAAAATAGAAAATATTGATAGAAAATAAGAAGAACTCGTTGATTTGTGGATTCCTCACTCTCCAAGGATGTTCTCTCTTGTGTGCTCCTCCATTCCTTCTCCCAAAAGTTCTTTTCTTGAACCCCTACAGACGTAGTCCTCATTTTAAACTCGTCAGTTTTAGGGCTTATGTGGCGGACTGGTGTCATCGCGGCGCGGGAGCGCCTGCCTTCTTTTGGACATGGCGCAGGGGCGCCTATTTTTGGCGCGGGGGCGCCTGCACCTTCGGTTGAAAAACACTTTGCTGCTTCTAGAATGGCGCGGGGACGCCTCAGAATAGCGCTGTGACGCCAATACCCCCTGTAATATACATCCTTGATTTGGCTAGTGATACTTGAATTGCTCTTAATTGACTCCATCTTCTCATTGTTGACTCTCCTATTATGAAAGTACCTGAATATAATACAAAAACACATAAATGCAGTAGAAATCCTCAAATTCAAAAGTGAAAGATAACTAATAACTCTGTTATATCAACAGGTCAAGCCGTGAGTGCAAAGTGCAAATCATTCCTAGTGATGATTTTTTGTCAAAACATTATGTTTAAGTGCTTTGAGTAATAAATACTTTTTCTCATTTTTATATTTATTTTTAAAATATGATGGGCAAGGGCAAATAAGTTGTTTTACGCTCTTCAAATGGACTTTTTGAACAACAGTCGTCATTGATGATGCATGTGCCAATTAATTGAATGTTAAACATAAAAATGTAACGTAAAGAGTTAGGAAAATAATTGTTATAATGAAAAAGATTGAGAATATTAAATGTAATTAAAATGTAGTGCATCGAACACAAAATATGTTGTGAATATTACCCTGGCAAATATTATGTCCTCTGGCCAATTGTTGGATGGACTTAATAATTATTATTAGGCTTATTATGTATTGAGCTAAGATTAATTAGTGGAAATTTTTCATATTTAAATATGACCAATTTCAAAACTAAGAAGTAACATTTGGAACTTCAAAAATCTATTAAATTTTATTTATGAACTAATTAATTAAAAACTTATTTTATTAATTAAATTTATTGAAGTCATAATTCTATACAATTTTGTCACAAATTATCGAGTTATTTGGTTACAAATTATTTCTCGATCACAAATCTAAATCTTTATAGGTCATAGATTATTCACTTGCCATAAAATCAAGGAAAAAAAATTATAGGTTACAACTCATTTATCGATCATAAATCACAAATTATATAAATTACAATTTATTTAACGGTCACAAATAATTAAATTAATTGGTCACAACTTAATAAATTGTAAGTCACAATCACATTTTTTAGGTCGCAAATTAACCAATTTATTGGTCTTGGTCACAAACACTTTTCGTCCCACTCGGCTGCTGCTGCCACCGCCATTTGCTACAACCGCTATTTGCTAGCACCACTTCACCATCCGCCAACAACGCCAGATCCACCACCATACCACCTCAACAAAGCCCAAATCCACCACCATCTCGGCATAGCTAGATCTACCTACACTGTCGTCAACAAAAAAAAAATCCTAAAAATTACAGTGCTTATGCAAAAATTGGACAAATCTGAATAGTGCGATGCATATGGAAGTGGTAGCTCACCGGAAAACCTCATCCGTGGCGCTCGCCGGAAACCATGACTAAGGACATCGTCGGCGCTCAACCACAAACTACAAATCACAACCCACAATATTAGTCTAACATCGTTGGTCAACATCGCTCCGACCCAGGGACAGATCTAAGACCAGATTACAGGCCGGGCTAATACGTTAAAAAAAAAAAA